CTCAGTGGCAACGTCTCTGACTGTAAAGCTGGGTGACACGAGATCGAATCCGTCAGGGAGCACCAGTTCCCCCAAGATTACAGGCACACCTTGTTGACGAGTGCCAAGTAGCACGAAACACGGGTCTAGGATTTCCTGGTGACTACCTCCAACCACCATCTAATCACAACTCAAGCGTATATATATAGCATAAAAATGTCATTGGAAAACGTTACAAAATAGCATACTAAAAGAGATAACGAACCAATAGTGCTTAAATTCCTCCCAAGTGGGAAATACAACATGAAGTTGCAAATGGATGCTTTTGGTGAGAAAACAAAGAATTTAAATTTCTTGAAATAGAATTACAAAGATAAGGCATTTATCAAGTGAACTCTAGGAATCTAACCTCCCCAACGCTAAACAATTCAATAGAAATTATTACATTTAAATTATGGAAATAAAGTCATGTTTTCAGAACATTTACCTATTTAATTAAACGTTAAAATCAAGACATACACAGTACAGAAAATGTAGCAATGTACTATTCAGTTATAACTGAGAACGCAAATAAAAAGAACGCAAATATTACTGGTTTTAAACGACAGTGTTTACAATGATACAAATAAATTTATTTGTTTGTTGCTTGTAAATTCTACAAAAATCTGTTATTTCTCTCACTGTTACTTTTATTAGTATATATGATTTGTGAACACTATTGAATTCTAACAGCTAATATCATAGACTGTCAATTCTAGGAAACGCTAAATAACTATTTCGTTATAGTACGGGACTTCTTAGTTCTGGATATGCATAAAACCCGTTGAGATTAAAATCAGCAGCTTCAAGTTTTGCTACGTGAGATCACTCTTGAAAACGATGAGCCAGCTTTAGATGGTTGTATGTTATTTAATTTTGTTATCGAGGTTCATTACTGACCTAAGATGTTTACAGATCTAGGGACAAAACGATTAGGCTACTCCAATGCGATCAGTTCTCTTTGAAATCGTCAATGGCTATTCACACATAACACATCAGATTCCTGACGACTAAGATAAGAAGAAAACGGATTAGAAGGAATTTGATATTCGAGGTAGGACAAGCAACACAAAACGAACTGGTTTATCTGTTGCTACAAAAGTAGCAAAATATGACCTTAAATCATGCAGAAATTTAGCGAGCTGGAAATAATGGTAACCAATTGGAGGGCAAAGGTAATGAGAGAATTCGGATTAGAAGAAAATGTGTGAGTGGTGAGCGTTCCTGAAAAGATTTTACTAATTCTAATAAAATCCTATTATTCTTATGATCACTTTAGCACCATTCCTTTCTCGAAAATCTTTCTCTCCTCATGAAATTGTACAGCTTTCATTCATTGTTGTTTACTACCTCGTGGTTATAACTTTTAAGATTCATATTCATAGATTCATATCAAGAGCACTATTTAAAAAAAGGAAAGTGAGATTTTTCCTCATCGAGTACTTCTTTTAGATTTGATTGTGTCTTAAGGTGTATTAGCTTCTTTAATAGTTATTTAGGTTGAATTTTCAGTTAAAGTAACATGGGAGTTTCAGTGAGAAAAATTTGCAACTCCAAATTCCGCAGTGAAAGGAGATATTTACACGTCAAGCTAGCAGACAAAACGCAGGTTAATAAAAAAAGTTTTTTCAGGTTAATGATCAGACGAAAGCCTGCAAACTAAATACAGTGCATGTGAGGTGGAATGTCTGACCATTAGACATTTCACAAGGAACAATCTTAGGTCTACTCCTCTCCTTCATATTTACTAGCCAACGTTCTGATATAGCCAACTCATCGGCACTGATTTGTCTAGACGACACAAAAACCTGTAGGTTCGTAAAGAGCGAAAACGATTCACTTGAGCTTCTGACGGACCTTGTAATAATAGAACAATCACACTTTCCATAGAATCCGCTCCCGGTCTCCTATTCAAAAAGTAATCTCAGGCTTTTAGGCACAGAGGATGAAGTCAAGCCAAATGCAACTCTCCACGAAATGTATAGATAACTACGCACATTCACCACGCAGTTGTTCCCAACACTGTCCAAAACATACGATATGCCCCACCTTGAAGTTCACAATACCACTGCGCTCTTTCCCTTCAAAATAGATGTAAATCTCTTACACCAAGTATAGTTTTGGGCAACCAAGTGGGTAATAGGGTGGAAGCATAAATCTTATGAAGACAGACTCCAGCACCTGAGAATGTCTTCACCCAGCTGTAGAAGAATAGGAAGTAAATTGATATCGGCATACAAAATATTAAGTACTCCGAGATACCCCAACACCAGCATATTAATAGAAAATCACCACCACTCTGCTCAAGATACCACTCAAAAGACCGAACGTCAAAGAACGAACACTGATTTATGCTCTCACTTTTCTCATTAAGGGTTGCAACCATTTGGAATGCTCTTCTAGCTGAAGTGAGCACAGCACCCTCAGTCGATAGCTTTAGGAGGAGACTTGATAAACACGTACTCACTCATGGATTGCCATTTCCCTCTGGGATCAGCTGCACCTAGTGAATGTATCACAACTTACATACTGTCGTCATTATGTCATCTCAACAACTTGTTTTTATACCTCTTATTGTCATCTCCGTTCCCCTCTTATTCGTTATATTGTGTCTTTCTTCACAATACCTATTAAATAAATTATTTATCCATCCTTGAGACGATTATATTCTCTTGGTAACCTTATCATCACTTTCCCTTTTCACATTGTAATCAACCAACCTCCTACCTGGTAGTGTGATAGCTGCCAGTATCTAAAGTCCATATAGCTGAATATAGAAATCTACAAATGACTGCTAAACTAACTAGAATTATTGCAGTTAAGTAGCTTGACTACTACACACTGGACATTACCGAACACACGTAACCAGCAAGAAGTGAGTGCAAAAACATGTATCGGTTTCTCCAAACTCGTGATAAAGATATTAAAGAAAATGTGTTAGTGGTTATCGTCCCTGAATTGATGTTAGCAACTCTAATAAAGTTTGATTATTCTTGTGATTGCCTTGGAAGATTTACCTTTTCTAATTTTAACTAAAGATTTTTATGTTTATCTATACTCTTCATTTTCTTCAAAAAATATTCTTTTTTATTGTTTATTTAATGACTGGTTATTGTTTTGTTTATTTGCCTCTGTGAAGCATTTTATAGTGTTAGAATTTATAATTAAGCAATATCTTACACAGTCGTAGTAGTACCTTTTTTCTAACAAGTATGACATTTTGTAGGAGTTCGTGTCAATTATAACTGTAATTGACAAATCCCATATATGTCGAACAATTTAATTTCATATAAGCTTATACTCACATAGAAAATAAAATTACAATCCACAATCATCAATCTATACATACTGAATGAAAATATATCGAGTTGATAAAATTAAAGAGGAAAAATGGAAACCAACACTCGTTCCACCCTTTTCCATCAAATTTATATATCACTAAGTATTTAATTACTGACTTAGTTTTATCAGGAAACCATGTTTATACTAAATACGTGTCGCACTAGTGAACAAGAACACCGGTGAAGAAAATCGAATGTATTCGACATGAAAATACAGAGCATCTCAATGAAATCTGAGAATCATATAGTAAACCATTAATTTGCAAAATATCAATCCATCATCTCAAACTTGACTATTCCTGCTGCAAACATCAATCCTTTGTCTCAGATTCCATCGTTTATTCGTTTTCTCGTTCTTTCCTCATCGACCCTCTACTGAACTACATTCTATGCCTGACCACCGTTATATATTACTTGTGTGGGTATAAGTAACCCAAACCACACCTCTACCTTTCAGAATTTATTATTAAGGTTAGATATCATTCAAACACAATTGTAATGACTCATTACATAAATGTTACCTTATCAATGAAGATAACAAAGTGATGAAACAAGGGTTCTGTAAAACATTGAACTTTTGAAATATTCAGTAGCAATTTAGTACTTTTAATGATGTCTTTTAAATTTCTACAAAGTTAAAAATATTATAATGATAGTCATTGGATTTTAATGGTTTGAGGAATATTCTTCATTGTGGTTGAATCGACCGATCGCATGAATCTTTTTGGAGTGCGGTTTATACGGTGAAACTAAAATTCATAAACGAATCAATCAGATATAAGATAATAGATATTGGATTTAGAAGCAAAATTCCTTCATCTAATTAGCTAAATAGAGTTTTGACATTTTAGTTGATGTCACTTCGTGACGAAAACCCTAAATCCAATTTCCAACCCTAACCACCAACTATAGATAAAGATTCTAATTCTTCATAGTGGTTTATAACCCTTATTTAGTCGTAATTATTAAGTAAACCCTCTCAAGGTCGGTCTAGTGTTGCTCAAACGTCGTCCATAAATTATAACCTCACAGTTAGCATTCAAGTAAAACCTCCATTAAGATCTTAAAATTATTGGTTATTCACAGTTTCACATGTTTTACTCAAAATTTTACCATACAAATGACTTGTTAATTAAGTAATTGTGATGTACTTTGGTTGGTACTAGATTTCATTGAAAACCTACTTATTCAATGTTTTAAATAGTATAGATAATTTAACATAATAATTCATGCATTAAATACTGATTTGTATTTCAGTTTTTAAAATACTTTCCTTTGAACAGTTAACTTTTGTTTATCTGATTTACTAACATTATGATTAAAATGATTAAATCTAATTCACACTGATACTTCATTTATGAGCATATAACAGTAGAAATTTCAATCGTTGAAATCATAAGTTAATTGAAGCTAGACCACTGTAGAAAACTTTGAAACACTGGACGATCATTTTGTCCTAGTATAGGACTCTTCAGCAGTCTAGCTTCAATTAACTCATGATTTCAACGATTGAAATTTCTAAAAAACCTTCACAACAAAAAACCCCTTCTTATAATATAACAGTAGAGTTAATTCAGTTTAGATTTTAATGAAGTTGTTATTATCTTATAAGAAGTAACTAAGAAGTATAAAAAGCAAATATTCACAATGTATTTTTATTGATTTTATAAGTTATGTAATATGTTTACGAAGGGAAGCAAAAAAAACCATAAAACGATCTGATTAGAAGGGGTTTATTTGTTTAACCAAAAAATATTACGGAAGAAAAACAAACGAAAAAACAAACAAACAAACAAAAAAATATTGAAATGAACATTGATTTTTATTGGTCAATATTATTTCATATAACGAATTAAAATATTATCAATAAACCATTGATTAGTAAAATCTAAATGTTCACCAGTTTTTTCTATAAGATGTAAATCACCTCTTTTATCAAGTACTTTAAGTCCTAAACGATCCTAAAAAAAAATTATAAGAATATATATGGGTGAATATCAAAATGAATTAAAAACATTATAAAATACAAATTAAATTTATGAAAATTAAATGATAAAGAAAACTTTGATAAAATTATAAAAAGATTCAAACTTATTGGGGACGATATATCCCCAAAACTCACTTTTTTTTTAAAATTTTATCATATCGATTAACTTATCGATTAAATGATGAACTCATTAATTAATGTTTAAAAATCTCCCATGACAATATCGATTATATATATTTGTATATATACGTTTTAAATTGTGAGCTCGCTCGTTTTCTGGCTGTTTGCAGAATATATTTTCTATACCAAGCTTGGACTTCTCCTTCTAGATAGCGGGGCTGGAACGTATCAATAGCTAGATTACCGGTCTTTGGTTACTGAGTTTTATTCTCGTTCGCAGATTAAGTGAACTCGTGAAGCTTCTAACCTAACAAAACTAATAGTCAAATTGCAACTTGATCGATAACATTTGGTCTGCTCTAAGAAGAACTTGACATACATGACATTAACTATCATTTAATGATCAATCAATTGTAGATTTAATGAAATTGTTTGGAAATAATACTTGTTGAAAGAATATATTTGTTATAACTTAAGTGTTGATTTCTTGATATAGCGCGTAAGACAAAACACTAGAAAACCAAAACCCTTTCAAGTCGCAATAAGAAGATAGAAGACCAATGAAAGGAATATTATTCGAAACAGTGTCAATCATAGTACAAAATTGTCAGGTATTTATAGTTTTTAGTAAGAGAAAAATCGTCATTACAGTCCTCCAATCCGCATACAGGGGGCTATTAACATTGTTCAGTCGGGAAGCTACACATAGGAATTCGAGAATATTCTTCCGAAAGGTGATTGGGTGGAACATCTTCGGCTCCTTCTGAGCCTTTTACAGCTTCCGCGAGTTCACCCATAGTCCGTCGTTACGATATTATTTACAATGAAGATGATAATGATAGTTAATTTGATTTGCATTATGTTACAATAATCTGTTAATTGATTTCTATGTAATAATTATACTTGATCTAGTTTTTCTTTACGGATAAATACGAAAAATAATCAGTTGTTATCATTATACTATTAACTGAAACTTTGTCTGATTTATTTATTTGACGAGTTTTGTTCACTTTGATCTTCATGTTATTTAGTTAAGTTGGGATTTTTTTCGAATGCATTCACTTGACACATTTAACTTTAGTAAACGGAATACACCCATCAAGACATTAAATAAGAAAGATTGGTTCAGTGAAGAGTTCTCTTTTTGGTGCGTTCATTTTCGAAGCTGTGCAATCGCAAGTATATATATATATATATATATATATATATATATATATATACTAATTTTTTTCCGGATCATAATAATTACAATAATAATAACAATAATAATAATAATAAACTTCTATTAGACATGGAGACAGTGAGGTAGAATAAACAAAGGTATTACAGTTTTTTAAAACAGGGAAACTGATAATCGTTTGATTGGTAATGGCTTCAATATTCCTCAAAAGATAGATGGGAAAGGATAACTCAGCATGTTGAAACTGAGATTAAATGTAATCTGGTTTATTTCTGTTTCTACGATCCTCTTGATTCATTTAATCTCAATTTCTTCATTTTATCTTACCATGATGGATCATCCTTTTCTATTGATAATTTCCCTATTTATCTTTATGATGAATAATTAAGCCATTAACAATCAAACGATTATTAGTTTCCTTGATTAAAAAAATGTTTTTTTCATACCTTCGTTTATTCTACCTCACTGTCCCCATGTATAATAGAAGTTTATTATCATTATTATTGTCATCCGGAAAATATATATATATATATATATATATATATATATATATACTTGTGATTGTACAGCTTTGAAAACGAACTCACCTAAAAGAGAAATTTTCACTGAACCAATCTTTCGCATTTAACTCTGTTAAATTTGTTTAATCGCCTCACTAATTTAATTATGTAAACTAATGATCATGTCCGTTAAAGGTAGGATACAACTTAAAGGGAATAAATAGCCACCTTAAAAATGTCATACTGATCTCATATGTCCGATTAACTGACTGTTTCAACTGTTATACATCAGCATCATCAAACTGTGTTAGCTGTTTAAGAGAATTCGATTTTCTTTATTTGTTGTAAGAATCAACCATCAGAAAAATGTTTTCAAACTATGATCAGTTTCACCAATACTCTTTATCATTATTGTCCAATTTTATGATTTGACTAATAGGAAGGAAAGCTTCATAAAACAGAAGTTTAGTTAGTATATTTGAATTGATTACTTACTTCATTGTATAGAATACTATCTCGCAGCTTTATTATATCTGTTGATGATCCACGTCGATAGAATCCGAACCACTGAATTAAAATTCAATTCATAAATATTAACTATATTATTTAAAAAATTTTCAAAAATATATATGTATAAATATGTGAGATACATTGAGTGAATTCAAGGAACACAGGTAAGTATCGTATTATTTAAAACCAATGAGCTTCTTTTAGTAGAATATCAAATCATATTTTTCAGATAAATGCATTAGCTTTCACTGATAAACATCAAGATACATGATGAGTACATCTTTATATACCTTAGTTCTAATTAGGAAGATTAATAAATCATAAATGTAGAATTGTTAGCAAGACTATAATTTATGGACGAACCAATCAGATTTAAGATAGCAAGTCTTGGATTTTAATGAGAAATTCATTGATCCATATGGCTAATCCGAATTTCGACATTATGGTTGGTGTCACTTCATGATGAGGACTTTAACACCAATTCTTAATCTTAACTTGCAATTCTAACTCCTAATCTTAGTTCCTCACACTGACCTTAGTAAAAGAATTTTCTCGTTTTAACCCCTGTCAACGGTCGTTCATGTATTATAGTCTAATCGAATTATTTTAGGATTTCATTCAATATTAATCTTGACGATAGATAATCTGACATCATTGGAAATTGATCACATAGGAGATAAAACATGTTAGCCACATTTAAATGAATGACGAAATTAACGAATACTTGGTAAGTGTTTTTAGGATATTAACTCTTTAAATGCTAATCATAACGCTTAATAATATATTTGATCAAACCTTACTATGAAGTAGTACACTGTTCGGCATCCAGTAGCTTGTATGTAAGCGTAACAAATTGATCACTTTCAAAGTGATTTCACAGCAACGTCATATCTTAAAAATGAATTTGACAAGTCGTGAACTCAAAATGTCAAGCATTTCTCAGAGACTTAAAATAATAATAATGAACTAGTATTTAGAATATTCATATCTAAGATGAAACAACAAGCAACTTAAAGACTATATATGTAACTTTATATATATTGTAGTTTGTATACATACTGATGATTCGCTGGGAAGTACTGTGGTGTCGTTGGTAAACTTCACCAATACTAATCGTTGAATTTTCTTCATATTTTCACGGTATGTTTCGTTTATTCGCTTAAATAAAAGGAAAAGAACGTTAAAATCATTAAACTCTATGTTAAAAACGATAATTGCCTAACTAATTCTTCTGAAGTTACTGAGATCATGAAATGATAAAGTGACAACTCGTCAGTAATTCTCCAGAAAATTCTATGGACGTTTACGGAAAGATGTAATCAGTAGCAACTGAATATTGGATATGAAGTGGAAGTCTAAAGTTAGAAAACGTTTAAATATCCACAAGCAGATTAATTATATACTAATATTTTAGAATACATTTATTTCATTTAGCTTTAAATTCATTCTTGCGTAACACCGAATAATATCAGTTTGTGAACTAATTAGTTTTAATATGCTAAATAATAATAGAATCCGTGGTATCCTTGTGGATTGTAAGGTACTCGCACCTACGAGTTGACTATATTTGTCTGTAATTAAGCAGAAGAATAATAAAAGCATTACATTACAGAATAACTACGACCCAGATGTTATTTGATATTTGAAATGGTCAGTGATTCACGGTGATCGTTATCAGACTTACTTTTTAAACACTGGAGCTATGTGTCATTTTTATGGAATAAAGATTAGTTTTACTGATATTTTTAATTTTTTGCTTTTGATTTAACTTCCTACTACTACCAGTCCAGTTGCCAAACAAGAATATTTGTGAGTCGCCAAGTATCTATATACAAAAAGTAGGTGAAATCTCTTCGCTTATGTAAATTTATTGACATTGAAAGTTTGTAAAACTTTAAATTTTTCAGACTTTAGTTACACGAATTCATTCGTGATCAACAGTACTTACATTTTCCTGATTAATATCAGCTAAAAATCGAGAGTATTTGCGATAAACATTTTCTTTAAATGGATCATGCCAGTATTGTGCCGGGACAAAGCTTGTTATGTAGTAAACAAAATGAAAAAAAGAAGTGATGTTTAGTAACATGTCTGTGTATATAATATTGTAACAATTTAATTTTTTGATTTAGAGTGATTTTAGAAAAGACTTGAAGAGTATATTGAGGAAATTTCTATGATGTTTTATATTGCTTATAATATTACTTAAAACAAACAAATTTTTAGATGACAGTATTTTGATTTAATGTTCTTACTTATATTACAGTGTGAGATATGTAAAATTCATGCGAAAAGATCTCAATTAAGCAGTGTAGTTTCCGAATGCAGTACTGGACTAGGTGTGCTTAAGTCAAGAAGTACGCATATATTTGATACAGGAAATCCATGTGATGAGGTTTAACCAGATATTGAACAATACAATAAATTAGTAAAATTAGTAAATTCACAAAGACACCTCAAAATAATTTCTCTGGACCTCACCGATTTTGAATGTATTCAGTATACACTATATCAGATAAAAACTTATTTAACCATAAGCAATATGGAACAAAACCAGTATTGATGCATCTTGGAATCCCAAATATGCCCTGTTGAAGTCCTCCAATAGAAACAACTGTGCCGACTTTTGAAAAATTGCATTTTTGGACCAATGCTCTAACAAGCAATCCGCCCTGTGATATACCAATCATGTGAAAACCATTGGAGAGTTTTTTATCTTTATGTAACATACGACAAACATAATCCAGTTGATCATTAATTGAAAGAAATACCGTATCTCTAACATCCTATATAAAAATGAAGAAAAAATATAATTAAATATTGACAGCTTATTAAATAATGAAGAGCAAAGTTGTTTTATGTTGTTAAAAGCCAACAATGATATATATATATATATATATATATATATATATATATATATATATATATATATATATATATATATATATATATATATATATATACGTTGCACAGAATAACTAAAACACATTGAACCCAAACTGAGTAGAAAATATTGGATTCGAAAGAGATAATACTCCGCACATGCAGAAAGTTGCACTGACCAAAAAGAGGATAAAAAACACTTATAGGATGGGAATCACATGAACATAGAATCACCAAAGTATCCTACAAAACAAAGGAGGGAATTATAACAAATGTTGCCCAAGATTCTGCATTCAACAATAAAGCAACGGCGAGGATAAAGATAATTTTTACCAGAGAATGCAATCGATCATAGTGAAGTGCCCAGAAAAGTACTTTATCATACTCATAGAAGACCTAAACGCGAAAAGTCTAAATGGACAACATCGGATATGAAGATATAATGGGACGAAATGAACTCAGACAAACAAACGACAATGGTGGCAGATTTCAAATTTATGCGCATTCAACAAAATGGTTACATGCAACTCTAAACGCCTTTAAAAACGCATGCACAAAACTACATTGATCTCACCGGATTGCACTACAAAGAACCAGATCGAATATATTTGCATCAGTAGAAAGTTCAAAAGGACAATGAAAGACACCAGAACCAGGAGAGGTACTAAGATAACGTCATATCACCACCTGATGGTTGCCAACATGAAACTGAAGCTAAAGAAGTATTGGACAACTGGACAATCAGCATTACAACGGTTCAACACAGCCTTCTTTCGAGATGCTAACAAACTCAACTAGTTCAATTTAACTATCATCAACCGGTTCCAAGCCTCACAGGATCTACCGGAAGAAGAAGAAATAACTATAAACGACAACTGGAAAGGGATCAAAATAGCACTGAATTCAACGTGTTAGGAGGTTCTGGGCCACAACAAGCATCATCGTAAGGAATGTATCTCTATCAAAAACCTAAACAAGATTTAAGAAATTAAGAGCAAGAAGACAGCAATTAACGAAAGCCAAACAAGAGCAGAGAAAGTCAAGGAAAAAGCTGAATACACAAAAGCAAACAATCAAGTGTAGAGGAAAATTAGAGCCGACAAGCAGAAATACGCGGAAGACCCAGTAACGACAGTGGAACGAGCTGCAAAAGAAGGAAATGTCGAACAACCATATAAAACGACGAAGAAGCTGACACAAAGATATGGTAAACCAAAGAGACGGAAGAAATCAACATGGCCATCAGACAAATCAAGAACAGGTAAGCAGCAGGATCTGACAATGTGCCACATGAAGGACTAAAGTCGGACATAGAGGTTACTGCAACCGTGCTCAACGTTCTATTCGGAAAGATTTGGAAAGAAGAACAAGTGCTTTTGTTTACTTTTTCGATTTGTTATATTGCTTAAAAAAGCTTTTTTGTACCCAGAAAACATATAAAAGCGCAGCACTGTGAGAAAACACATAGTTGAAAATAAATTCGCCGAGAAGTTATATTTCGGCTAAACCGTTTTTTATTTTTTTAACTTCATTCTTCAAAATATGTGGTGATTATATAATATGGAAACCGACTTATGTAATTACGATACGTTTTTCAAGAAACTAAATAACCCTAGTGATTTCGATGCTTCAAGTTCTTTCTATATCATTTAATAAACTACTTTGGGTTCTATATAATAATTCTCATATCTTAATAAATGAATCGGTGAATAGTCATGCTCATATGTGTCGGAATATAGACTGATCTTTACTTACCGAATATGATCATAACATAATACAACCTTACAATGAATAAGACACTTTGGAAATCTAAAATCTTATGTTTAAGAGAGTGATGTTCATTTCTCCCATCAAATCTTAAATAAATTTTGAGGAGTCAGTGTTACGTCTTAACTTTGAAGGATCAGGCTTCATATTCGTGCTCTCAAAATAGTAACATTAGGGGACTTCCCTTGTGAAGAGATGGACCAGCCAATTTTAGTGAAGTTTCTTTATTCAAAACCAGTTGCTTTTATAATAATTAATCGACAATAACCATCCTATAAGGCCTTGATTTAAAGTCAGTTAACAATGCTTCTAGTGCGTGGAAAGCCTCAAGAGTGACAAAAATGGTAAAATTATATTATACGGGCAATAAAATGTAGGAAAATATATAGCAGGAGCCATGTTATTAAAAACTATACTTGAGATGACTTTGTGGTAGTTTTGGTTTGTGTGTTATGTTAGTCGATTCTAAGGGCATGTGTGATAATTTGCCCAACCCAAATGAGGTAATAACTGCTGTTTAGGCGTGTCCTCTGGCGCTACTGGAATGCGATAATAATTTATGTCCTGATCAGTCTTTGAAAATATGGTGACATTTTCTATATCATAGTATTGTCGTGGACGTGTGGTATCGGATATTGATCAGTTACTATTTGTCTGTTAAGAGTTCGAAATTCTCCCCTGATGTATCTGTTCTTTCTCAGGACTATATGCGATGATGATGACTAAAACCTGTTAGAAAGGCGTATGATGCCTAAATTTATAAGACTGTTGAGTTTGTTGTTAACAACACCTAGGCTTCCAGGATGAAGGCACCAAGAATGTGTGAAGATTGGGCGTCCACTAATAACAATGTGATATACAACGCTGTTTCGAATGTTTTTGTTAGAAGTTGATTATAACAGGTTGATAAACCATTTCAACGGGTTAATATACATGTCACCGTTGAGTTGTTTATTAACTAATTGATGCACGGATGTTTCTGTGGATGTCACTTATCCAATGTGGATTTTTCAACTGATGCATACTAGCTTACGGCGTTTTATGTTCACTATTATTTCACGAAACTTTAAGAAATCGATGCCGATCATGGGTGTAGAGATGTCGGTTGCGATAAGGTTCCAAAATAATACGTATTGTTTTCAAATACTAGTATCAAGTGTCTTCTCCTATGGGTTCTTGTGGGGAGGCGATTAGCTGCCTTTTGTTGATTAGACACTGCACCCTTGTCTTCTTGTCTGTAAAATACAAAAGAGGACTACATGGACGGCCATGACCGACGACGGCGGCCTTAGTTTGTCGTCGACTGTTGCAGAATAAACGCGGGTTCGACTGTCTTCTAGCGGTAGTACTGAACCTAACGTAATATCAAAACGTTTAAGGGCAACTAGTGCAGTACAACGTTTTCGGCGATCTATTGGCCAAGTTATGGGAGGTTTGTCTAAGGATGACGTGTATATCAATGGACTGTTAGGATCTGATAAGACGGTGGACGATCATCTTAAACAACCAAGACCGTTATTTATGGGGTTTCAGGAACACGGGATCTTTTTTAACATTGAAAAGAGCAAATATGGAAAAGTGGTTTCTCGAGATATCATTCCAGTTCCGGCGTTCGTTGTTTCTATCCGAATCTATCTAAAACCCAAGTCACAGGAGAAAATTGGGTGATTTTTCAGACCAATAAATAATTTTAAACAATTTATCCCAAACTGTGCAGAAATATTACAAACACTAACCGACGCCTTAAGAAGGCGTTTCTCGACACCATCTACTAGTGGAGTTTATTCGAGAGATCTCGGAATAGGAAGATGATGCTCGTTCAACGAGAAAAAAGCTCTGTTAGCCACCATGATTGACGCACTGAACGTAGCAGTAGGACCTGTGTGGCGGTGGTAGGCAAATTAAGCGAGAGAACTACTTTCATTCGCTTCCGAATAGGTAGAGTCCTACCTAAGTGAGGTTCAGAAAATTTATAAAAGAATCGCTGGTGATTCACCTGGTAATGAAACATTCCCGACATATTGTAGAGAGTACCACTTTCACCGTGTATGAAGACAATTAAACTCTTACGAAAACGTTAGACGTCAAACAAGATAATTATTTGCCGCAAGAAATTAGACAATTAGAATTCGTTTCCCAATTGACTTCCAGCGTACTATATATTAAAGGGAAAAATAATGACGTAGCCGATGTATTCTACAGGTACCGATAAATATACTAAATACAACTAGAACAGACTATTATAAACTAGCTTAATTAAAAATAGCACTCTTCGAATTATTCGAATCAATATCCTTTGTTATAACTTTAAAAATTCTCAAAAGCCTACATTCTATGATGATAAACTAACGTGTAATTTTTCAGTGGGCTGGAAACGACCGCTGATTAGAGAGTCAGTAAGACATGACGTTTTCAAACCTATGCACAGTAACTCTCATACTGGAATAAAAGCCACTATTAGGCCATCCATCGAAGGCTTCATATGACTCAACTTTACCAACGAACGCTGTAACTGACAGAAGAACAAAAGTTGAAAGTTGCCTCTACTAAAGACTAACAGATTTCGTGATCCACTCCATTCGCATCTCAAATAAAAGATGAAGTTCAGAACAAATCACAAACTATGATGGACTATTTCGGGACACTTTTCACACGAAGGCCTCTTCTAAGCTAAGGACTAGACCAAAATTCAAATTCACAAAATTAGCTGCTAACTGTGAACCTCGATCAAGACGACGTACTAAAGGCCCTTAGCATTTAAGACATTGAACAATTAAATACACTCTAAAATCTTGAGACAAATTGCATAAAACATTACTTCTACACTCATTATGACATCAAATGTGTCATGGAACAAAATCGGCTTACGTATGGACTACAGATATATAATGGTCACTTCGATTCACGAGACAGGATCAGAACAACCTCCACTAAACTACAGATTTATCATTCTCACCAGTGTCATAATTACAATACAAGAAAGGATAATCACAAGGGTCATAATAACAATCAAGAAAACCGGCAACTTGTTAAAAAATGAACAACATGGTTTCAGAAACGGATTATCTTTCACAATAAACCACCTGGCCGCAGGGGCAAAATTGTCAGAGTCTCAAGAAAATGAGAAATCAGTAGACATCATAAAAGTATTCAATAAGGTGATAAATAATAGAGTTCTTGTAGTGCTTAACAATCGAGAAATTGCCGAACTTCTTCTAAAGTGGAATAAGGCCTTCACGACAGGTCAGAAACAGTAAGTAAGAATACATTTTGAACGCTCCTCCTAGTAACCAGCACTTAATGGAGTACTAAAATACTCTGTCCTATGTCCTTTGCTTTTTATACACTGTGTAAATAAAATCTGAAGTGCGGTTGAGTTCAGAATGCTGCTTAACACGAGTGATGCGATAAGCTGGTGTAAAATAACAGGAGACGCAGATGTATGTGCTTCTCTGGAGAACTTGAATGTCCTGATTTTATGGTCTAAAAAATGGCCAATCCATATCAACGCGACAGAGTAATTCTACATTTACGCTGAAGACACAGAAGTAAATAGGCACAATATAGAGGAAGAGTCACTGCCCTTATTCAGGTCTCATCATAATCGTATGGTAGCAGTGAGCTACAGCCTTAAAGCCACGGTGCAGTACCATGAGGTCGCAACTGAGTGGTTCACAATTTTATGGACTTTAAGATGGTAATTCACTAAGTTGGACCTTAATATGCTCACTACATTAAACATAACTTAAGTGACATTTGAACTTGAAAACCGCATTCAGGCTGCAAGCTTCGATTTATAAAGTGGCTTGAATATCTAGGAAAAACCACGGAGAGCAACAACTCGTGCAATTCCTGAAATCCGAAGTTTACGATACCTACATTGGCATGAGAAGTTTAAACTATTCAGTATGTTTCATCGCACATCAAACAGTGGTCCGATTTTAATGCATAGAACACTGGAAAATGAATTTAAACGAGACATATCATTTCATTTTCTTACCGGAACCTAAGAACCTAGAGGACATACCATATGAGCACAAACAGCTAGGAACAGAAAATTTATGTGTCAAACACATCGAATCATCAAATTTCGGAACACTCTTCTCGAAGAAATAGTGTCTAATTCTTCAACTGACACATGCAGAACCAGACTGGACACTCTAAAAAAGACAATCATATCAGGCAGAACTTCTGCCATCAACACTCGAATCTCAATCTGTTTAAAACAGCAAACAAACGACCCAAAAAACACTCTCAAGGCAACAACAACGATGTGTATACCACAGCAACTAGCCAGTCGCACTTATATATATTTCAGAACGGTTAATTTAATTATAATTACATGCGAACAATATCAGAAATTATTTGGTTTTACAGCTGAGAAAAAAACGTGCACGCATTCGGAGACAAGTTTGATTGTTTACCTCTATGTTAAAAATATTCGTTGAGATGGTTTTCACATAGATTCCAGGTATTGCTCGTTTAACCAACTGGGACATTAAATCCATACCGAAAGAGTTCCCATGGTCACCTTTATCAAAATAAACGAAAATTCAGATACAAACTCATTCCGTGCCAAATAAGGACTGGCAATTTTTCGGATGAAATCCATGGATAATTAGAGAAAAGTAAAATCCACGTTAACACAGTGTACATAACAAAAATATACTGACCTTAGAGTAGTAATGCAAATAAAATATCAATTGTCAATATATTTGGCATGCTGTAAAACTGTGATAGTTTATCATCGTGTGAGATATCGTCACTTTGAAACTCGTGTCTTACGCGATAAAAATCTAATTAATTCTTTTTTCTTCTAAATACGATTGATTCAGATACTATTGTTAGCTCCGTTCGTATCGATGATATAAAAATTAGGTTCATTCTGAAGGACTTTGAAGGGGCTTCTGTATGTTCTTCTGAGAGATTATCGAGGTGAGTCGTGACGTGCAAAGACATGTGTACTATATCGTAGGACAGTTTGAACGGAAACATAAGTTAATTGCGGTCGAGCGAAAACATGTTTAACTGAGCGCATTGCGTTTGTGAGCCTGCTCATGTAGGTATTTAAATCCATATTCATTAAAGAAGATGAGGGATCTACGAATTCTCCTGTAAGCTGAAGTGTCGTTTTATAAAATAGTTGAGATGCAGTGTATCCAAAGTCAGCTTTTACGGCATAGTAAATAACGAGTAAAATGAGTGCAAGTGCATCGGTCTCCTGTGAAACGTTTGCAGCTGATAGTGAAGCATTTCACCTACTCGTTTACTTGCGGTCCTTTGTAATCCCGTTATTTCTCATAGTTTGGTCAGACAACGGAAAAGTCTAGAGTCAAACTAGCGTCCACGGTCTGTGGTGATAGTTGAAAGGCCGTCGAAGTTTGCTACCCACCGATCGAAGAAGGCGCGGGTCACTGTTTCAGCAGTAATGTCTTTGATGGGTAATGATTCTGTCCATCGTGTGGAACGGTCTGGGTATCCATCTGAATATGGTAAGAGTCCTATCAAATCAAGATGAGCATGACGAAACGAGAGTCAGGAGTTGTAAAAGAGCCTAAAGTACATTTGTTGTGTCCAATCACCTTAGATTTCTGGCAGCCTACATAGGTGTTTGCCCACTTCCTCACGTCTTTATTTATACCAGGCCAGCAGAACGTTATGCTATGGGCTTGATGTTTGCACGAAGACGTGGATGAGAAGGCCTATGCAACGTGGTGAATTTGTTGCGTCGATAATGTTTCGGCACGACTGGATGGTTCCTGTCTGTTAATATATCATATGATAAAGTTTCCTTACCTGTTTTTGTCCTTTCAATGCATAATTTCAGGTTGTCGAAGATAACTCGTGCTGAAGATCAGTGTTTTCTTTTTGAATACAGGAGAGATCGAGAAGGCTGGTTCCTTGAAAACTGTTCAAGGAAGTTATACGAGATAAGGAGTTGCAACTACATCTTTCGCCACGAAACTGTGTTCTATGTCTGAAGTAAACGGTGAAATGTAGTCCAGTTGTCAAGACTCTCATGAGGAGAACTTGTCTGAAACTGAGCTTAAAAAGAAGTTAAGAAATTTGCGACAGGTGAAAAGAGTGGATTCCACGGCTTCCGCACAGTGATGAACGTGCTCTACAGAGCGGTACATGGCTAGGAATTCCCTACTGAAATTGCTATAACTCGATTCATTGTCTTGCAACAATCTAGAGAAGAATGCATTAACTTTTTATGTGTAATTAACCTACCGACTGCCGATTGGATGCGTCTACTGTGATACTAATGGGTGATTCGGTATCCTGATGTGCGAACAGTGCTGCTTTGGAGATACTTTCTTATATTTTTGAGAATGCGTTTTTCGCGACATCGTTCAAATTTCCACGAAAGATGTCGATCAAATGTCTCATATAAGACGCTTGTTTCGGCATCAATCGACTATGAATACTTTCTAGGTCGTTGAATGCGTGTAGTTGCTTCATTGTGGTCAGTTCTTGGTAATCCAGAACGACCGTCACTTTGTTTTTCAAAGGACGGATGCCTTGAGCATCAGTAGTAGGTTCGGGAAGATCTAGGGAGCCGATGCTGATTTCACACATCTGAAGGTCTACAGTAATGCTGTGTTCTCGCAGTCGTTCGAAGACAAGGTTCAGATGCTGAAGACGAGATTCTCTGATCGGATTTGAAATCAAGTAGTCTTCGAAATACGCATGTACGAATTCGAGACCTCGAAAAGCGTCATCAACGAATCTCTTGAATATTTGTGTGGCATTCTTTAAGCATAACTCCGCCTGTAGCTCTTCTCGAGTTACTGCCAGTCCCAAGTCCGGGTAAAGGAGGAGGGTTGGGCATGGGGTTAGCGTCCCCACCCCGTAGAAAACTAACTCGCTAAAAAAACGCTTGCCAGAAAAAATTAATAAAACCATTTTAACTCCGCCCTGAAAGTTAGGTCTTCACTTAGAAGAATTATGATGAATTATGGTGAAAGCCGAGTTCCTTCGGAAGCCACGAGGCCGATGCCCCTTCTAACAACCAGAGCAAAACTTTTTGTAGGTACATGGAACGTCCGAACAATGTGGGAAACCGGGAAGACCAGCCAAATAGCAAGGGAATTAGGAGATACAAGTTGGCAGTACTGGGAATCAGCGAAACCCACTGGACCCAAGCTGGACAGAAAAGGCTAGCTACGGGAAAGATGCTGCTATACTCCGGTCACGAAGAGGAAAATACTGTACACACTCAGGGAGTCGCTCTTATGCTGTCCAAAGTAGCACGAAATGCACTTGTAGGATGGGAATCTCATGGATCCAGAATCATCAAAGCATCATTCAAAACAAAGAAGGAGGGGATCACAATGAATATTATCCAATGTTATGCACCCACCAATGATAGCAACGACGACAATAAAGATCAATTCTACGAGCGGCTGCAGCCAATCATAGAGAAATGCCCAAGAAAGGACCTCACCATTCTAATGGGAGATCTAAATGCCAAAGTTGGAATAGCCAACACCGGATATGGAGATATTATGGGACGACATGGACTGGGACAGAGAGACGAAAATGGAGAAAGATTTGCAAATCTATGTGCATTCAACAAATTGGTCATAGGGGGCACAATATTTCCACACAGGCGTATACACAAGACTACATGGATCTCACCGGATCGCACTACAGAGAACCAGATATATCATATTTGCATCAACAAAAAATTCCGAAGGACAATGGAAGATGTGAGAACCAGGAGAGGTGCTGACGTAGCTTCAGATCACCACCTAGTTGTAGCTAATTTGAAACTGAAGCTAAAAAAGAACTGGACAAGTGGACAAACAGCAATACAAAGGTTCAATACAGCCTTCCTTCGAGATACTGTCAAACTCAATGAATTCAAGATAGCTCTCAACAACAGGTTCCAAGCCTTACGAGATCTACTGAAAGAAGAAGAAACTACTATGGAGGACAACTGGAAAGGCATCAAGGAAGCATTAACTTCAACGTGTCAAGAGGTTCTCGGTCTAAAGAAATACCATCATAAGGAATGGATCTCTACAGAAACAGTGGACAAGATCAAAGAAAGGAAGAACAAGAAGGCAGCAATAAACAACAGCCGAACACGAGCACAGAAAGTCCAAGCACAAGCTGAATACACAGAAGCAAACAAGCAAGTGAAGAGGAGCATTAGAACCGACAAGAAGAAGTACGTGGAAGAATTAGCAACGACGCCGGAAAAAGCTGCTAGAGAAGGAAATATGAATCAGCTTTACGATACAACGAAGAAACTATCAGGGAAATACAGTAAACCAGAGAGGCCTGTCAAAGAAAAAGAAGGCAAGCCAATCACCGAAATTCAACAACAGCGTAACAGATGGGTAGAATACTTCGAGGAACTCCTGAATAGGCCGGCTCGGATGAATCCACCGGACTTCAAAGCAGCACACAAAGATCTTCCCATAGATGTCAATCCACCGACGATGGAAGAAATTAGAATGGCCGTCAGACAAATCAAGAACGGGAAGGCAGCGGGACCGGACAACATACCAGCTGAAGCAGTGAAATCAGACATCGAAGCAACCACAAGCATGCTTTATTTTCTATTCAAAAAGATTTGGGAGGAGGAACAAGTGCCGATGGACTGGAAACAACGACACCTCGTCAAGATTCCAATGAAAGGAGATCTGAGCAAATGTGAAAACTACAGAGGCATTACACTGCTGTCAATACCAGGGAAGGTCTTCAACAGAGTGTTGCTGAACCGGATGAAAGATGCAGTAGACGCCCAACTTCGAGATCAATAAGCTGGATTCCGTAAGGGTCGATCGTGCACAGACAGAATTGCAACACTACGGATCATCGTCGAAAAATCAGTTGAGTGGAACTCGTCACTATACATCTTCATTGATTATGAAAAGGCATTCGACAATGTAGACAGGAGGGCGTTATGGAAACTTCTTCGACACTACGGAATTCCTGAGAAGATTGTCAATATAATCCAGAACTCATACGACGGACTACAGTGCAAAGTAGTGCATGGAGGACAGCTGACAGATGCATTCCAAGTAAGGACCGGAGTCAGACAAGGCTGTTTACTCTCTCCCTTCCTCTTTCTTCTGGTGGTCGACTGGATTATGAAGACCTCGACATCTGAAGGAAAACACGGAATACAATGGACAGCTCAGAACCAATTAGACGATTTGGACTACGCAGATGGCCTAACCCTCTTATCACGTACACACGAACAGATGCAGACAAAGACAGCTAGTGTAGCAGCAGTCTCTGCATCAGTAGGCCTCAGCATACACAAAGGGAAAACTAAGGTCCTCAAATTCAAAGCGGAGAACAGCAATCCAATCACACTTGATGGCGAAACTCTGGAAGATGTAGAGTCCTTCACATACCTGGGAAGCATCATCGATGAACAAGGAGGATCCGATGCAGACGTAAAGGCGAGGATGGACAAAGCAAGGGCCGCTTTCCTACAATTGAAGAATATATGGAACTCAAAACAACTTTCAACCAATATCAAAGTGAGGATCTTCAATACGAACGTCAAGGCAGTTCTACTGTATGGAGCTGAAACTTGGAGAACTACAACAACCACAATCAAGAAAGTACAAGTATTTATAAATAACTGTCTACGCAAGATACTCAACATCCATTTGCCGGATACCATCAGCAATAGCCTTCTGTGGGAGAGAACAGACCAACTTCCAGCTGAAGAAGAAATTAGGAAAAGACGATGGAAATGGATAGGACATACATTACGCAAATCATCAAACTGCATCAGGAGGCAAGACGTAATTTGGAATCCCGAAAGGAAGCGGAAAAGAGGAAGGCCTAAGAACACATTACGTCGGATAATAGAAGCAGATATGAAAAAGATGAATAACAACTGAAAGGAGCTACAAAGGATCGCCCAGGACAGGGTTGGATGGAGAATGCTGGTGAGCGGCCTATGCTTCTTCACGAGGAGTAACAGATGTAAGTAGGCAAGTAAGTATTCTTTAAGCATGAAGCCCTGCGCGCATATTCATAGAGACCGAAAATTTGATGACAGAGGTTTTAGAAATGTCGTCAGCGGCCATGGGAATTCGGTTATATACTTTGACCAAGTCGATTTTCGAAAAAAGTCGTAGCTTTTAAGGTGGCTATCAACTCTTGAATATGAGGTAATGGGTAACGATCAGGAGTGGTTTCCAAATTTAAACGACAATAGTCTTCTGATGGACGCCAAATGTTGCTGTCCTTTTTAGGGACCATATGCAAGGAAGAAGCCCATGGGCTATTTGATGGACGAATAATTCCTAGGTCTATCAGGTGATTGAATTCATTTACAGCCAACCTCAACGTGCCGCGAGCTAGTCGGTGCACTTTCGAGAAAACAGGCAGCCCTGTAGTCATAGTGTAATGTGTATGATTGCTTGCTATATATGGCGATTTCAGTCGCGTTCGGTATACCTCGTGATATTTATCGAGTGTTTGTTTATATTATGGATTGATGGTGTGCCTATGGGTTACTAAGGGCCATCTACAACCGGAAGAAGAAGTAACATAAACAGATAAATTAGTATTTCCATCTACTGACCTTGGTTTGCGCTTACCGACGAGTAGATTATGGTGTTGTAGCATGTCTATACAAATGATTGACATAGAATCACCTGCGACAACGAAGATCTAGTGAATGGGTTTGCGTGAAACCACGTTAAGATACATATACCGCTTACCATATGTGATAATCGGCTTCCCATTCGCCACCTATAATTTGAAGACTTTCAGGATAAACACTAACTTCTGCGAGGGTGTACGTCGCCCCATCAGACAGCTATCCTCGCCGGCTACAGTTTACGTTATTGCATACCGGCTGGGAAGTTTCCCGAAACTTTTTTCGTGTCGGATAGTTTAAAGCTCGAGAAACTGCTAGGTTTTTAGCGACTTCGAAAAGAATCACTACATTCATTCTAATAGCAGCACCAATCAGAGCTATCTGTCGCACGTGATCTATAGATAGATCATTTTCATGGAATACTTCTTCAACGAGTTTGGCAGCGCCTACGGTAATGACGAATATTAAGTTAACGTATCAAAGTATATCAGAGGTCACGTCATTTCGTGTCGCTTGAGGTTTTTCTGTGACTGAATAAGCCCCAGCGATGGGAGATCTGGTGATCTCTAGAACCCGGTCGGCAGATGCAGCCATTTGTATTGAAATGAGACGAGGACTTCTTGCATCTTTTATGGAAGCTCAGACAACAAGAATTGTCTAAACAGGCCCTCGTTAAAAGTTTTTTGACCAATGAGCTCTCTCATTTGTAGCAACATTTCTGTTTCTGAGCCATGTTGAAGTTCGACTTTGCTGTCGGTCGGTTAGATCTCCACTCTTAAGAAAAGCCTTTTTAATGTTTCGTAAGGTTCCAAAACATCACTAGCAAATATGCTAAGTGTGATGCGTCTGTTGAGATCGCTCGGCAGTGCCTTTATTACTACAAAGAATTGTACATGTGGGTCTGTCTTCCTGTGAAAGTCGGCATCTGTGTAGCAGAACCAGGTTTTGATATTGTCGTGTCAAAATGGCATTAGCTGAAATCAGGGAAGCGAAAGAGTTTTGATCTTTAGTAACCTAGGAGTTTACTCCATCATAATGAATGTAAAGTAATGGACGGGAAAAAATATCCGTATCATTATTTTTTACTAGATATTTTGGTGAAACTTCGAAACAAAAAGTAAAAACAACTTACACAGTTTGTATACTTCACTATCTGGATGCAGTCGTGAGTTTTCGGGAAAAATGTTCTTGGCACTATGTACTGAAAAAAGTACAGTAAATTGCTATTATACACAACGTCTTATCAAAAACACATGCTAAATGTAGAGCTAGTTAAATGTCTTTAGGCTCTAGCCAAATCATCTAGCAGTTGGTCACTGAATATCGAACATTCACCGATCTCCGTTAAAGTCAACGGCAATTAACGCCTGAATGATGTTGTTTGTTTGTGAAAAATCCAAGTTTGAAAAATAGCCTTCTTGGAATTTTTGAGGGGATATCGTCCAAACAAGTCAATTTACGAAGTATTCCATATTTTAACTAATTAAGAGGTTTTTCAGGAATCGTTAAATTCAGTCTCAGTACTAAGCTTTCCTATTTAAGTAGATACTTTTTTTAATGAATGGTAACCAAATATCTCTTGACAACTAATTAATTACAACACAGTTGTCCACTAGAGATTTAAGAGATTGGTATCAAAAACTATTCAGGTAATTACTGCCCACCTTTATTGTAATTGACAATAAGAAAGAATGGAATCGAACAAAATATTTTAAAATTCTAACAAAACACACTACTGCTTATTTGTAACTAAATACAGGATATATACATAAATATTGTTTATTTGATGGTTTCTGATGATCGTTAATACAGTAACGGTAGTTAGTTTTAGTTATATAATATACTCTTGTGGGCCAGGGTAATTTTACATTGGCTCTCAGGAGAACCAGATACTATCCAGACTTTTACGTGACAACCCAAATAGTACAGCTCAATCCCGTTTAACAGGAGAGCCATACACCGCTCATGCTTAAATTTTATGACCCGAGCAGTACAGTTTAATCCCGCTTCATTGGAGAACCAGACACCGTTTATGCTTTAACGCTACATTCTGAATAGTACAGCTCAATCCTGTGGAGCAAACACCCTGATGGACCATTCGCACCACTGATATACATATTCACGTCACATGTATAGTTATCACGATCAATGATCGCGTGAATCAATTATGCACAGCACTAACAAGCCAAAGTTCACCTATTCCGCTTACACGACAGTCAAACTCATTAATGTTAGCAATGGCGACATGCCTTAAAATGTCCCAATGATAATGAACCTTAAGAATACTGAAAAGCAACCACCAATATGAATGAAATCGGTAACAGTAATGGTAGATTATTTTACACTAACATGACAGAAGAATGATCACAAAGAATAGTGATCGTGACTAGTTATTAGAGTAAATCAGCTTAGTAGTTTAACCAAATATATCATCACTTTAATGAGCGTAGTATTGTTCGCATTCAAGGAACTAGACAAAAAATATTATCTACAAATATTTCACTCACATCGAATATTCTTTTTAAAATAAGCGAAAAAGTAATAGTTATTTATATGTTCTCTATTACCTAATCATAAGTTTTTAGAGTGAATTAATGCAGTCAATCGCTTACTGCTTATACGATTTATGTTTTTAAGTCAATAGTTTTGTTTTATGGCTTATAAAGCAATTGACTAAGTGTTCCAGTTCGTCGTTTATTATCCTAATTAACCAAACACTAGAGTGACTCTTGACTTTGGCAGATCAGTATCAAAACTTGAGTTGAAACAATTCAAACAATTTTTGAGTGATCATTATATTTTAAGTGAAGGCTCTGGTTTGATTTCAATCATTATTTAATAATTTAATTGTCATTTAGAATAGATAACCTCTTAGTTTAATGAGTACTTTCTCAAGTGCATGATGTACTAGCAACTTTATTTCAGAAAATGTAAGATGAATGAAATGTTAAAATTAAGAATGATTTATGTGTTCAGTGAATTGTGTTCATTGATTGGTCAAAAATAATATATATGTTGCTCTAAAGTTTACGAAGTAAGTATTGTGTATTTTACTGATTGAAATTATTTCAGAAAAGCAATAACAATCTTTTCAATAAACCAATTCACATCAAAATGTAAATGATCACCATCTTTTTCAATAAAATGTAAATCACCCCTTTTATTAAGTTCTCTGAGGCCTAGACGATCCTGAAATAAGAGAATTTATTAAATTTATTAAAGATTCTTGTCAAATGGTTTTGAAATATAATTAATTAAATCTTATTTTGAATACAGAAGTGATAAAATCAATGTAGATAACATCAAATTGTTCATCTTGAGACTCTATTCATTTTTGATTTGGTAAATCTCATAAAGAGATTATTTTGCTAGTTATCTGAAACTTTCAAAACAAATGTATAGTTCATCCACTTATTAAACAATCTCCTGGCGAATTTTTGGTTTTGCTCAACATTTATTAGTCTTTTATTAGAATTGATATTGTATTGTCAAGTAAGTGTGATACGCCTTGTCCAATATACTTTTCTCAGCACTTACTAAGCGAATTAATCTTCATGAGAATCATCAAACGTTAACTATACTTCATAAAATAAATCCCTTTAATATACTCAACTTCACTTAGTTTCCTCACAAATCTGTTAATTTAAAACAAGCATCATGTCACTTTAATAAGTTATTTAATGAATCAATATGTGGTGTGTGCTACTTATATTGATATAAGTAGCATATAACGCGAGTTAAAGAACGTAATGTCTGGCAGCAGATGAGGAAGATCAAGAAAGGAAGAGCGAGAACACAATGGAATTTGTAAGAAACCGCATGAACACTGAAATGTGAGACAATGGATTGATGTTTGCAACGGTAACAGTCCGGTTTGATATGATGGAGTGATATTTTGTAAATTAACGATTTACTATATGGTTTTTCTATTTTACCAAGTAACTCCGTAATTTTGTGCTAAATACAATTCGGTTGTCCTCACCTGTGTCCTTCTTCACTACAAATATATCAATTTACTGTTTCTGTATGCTGTATTTTTGACAACAAATTAAAATTTCATTGTTTATATCAACCACTTACACATGGTTTAATAACCGTCAGCCAAGTACTTCGTGTTACTATCACTAAAAATGAACAGATCGACCAATCTAATCTAATTATCTCATGTATTTTGATCAAACACACAAAAAAAAGAAAAGTTTATTAGTTTATTCAGATGCACTATCTTTCCATACGTGTAGTCTCACGATGTAACCCTCAGCTTAGGAAAAAGACATGTGTACTCAAGGTTATGGTGTTTAGTTACCAGAACTTATTTTTCGACTTGAATCTTTCTACTGTCATCATTTGTATGCTTAAATTTTTTATTGTTAGCAATCATCATATACAAACAATAAGTTATTTTGGACATATTAATGAGTTACTTACTTCAGTATACAGAATACTGTCCTGTAATGCTGTTATGTTTGTCGATGATCCATTCTGATAAAATCCAAACCACTGAAAAAGGTTGTTTATGATATCAGAAAAAAGTCATATTTAACATAAGTCATGAATTTCATATACTTTCGAAACTACATATAGAAAATTTAAATCAGTTGCAAACATTTAAACCTCACGATGACATATAGACCACGATAGCCTTTACAGACCGTTGGTGATCAGGATCTGTAGAGATGGTAATTAATTCTTCATAGTAAAAGATGACCAGCCATCGGAAACAACTAAATGATCAGTATAATTTAAACGTACTTTAATTATAGAAAATTTTTATCAATTACTGTCTCCTTTAATATATCCACAGTTATTGTAAGACATTCAACCGTTACACTATAACTGACATTAAGGTACACGAAGTTCCTGGTACGCTGAGTTTACTCGAATTAAGTCCAGCTAATTACTGGATCACCTCTGTGCATCCGACTGAGTTATTTCGAAAATTCCGTGTGTTACTTCATTAAATATAAAATTAATGTTAATAGTCAAATGACACATCGACCACCATAAAACTAAGATCGGTTAACGAATAAGTTAAGTCATCGCAACTGTTGTAGATAATTTTTCAATACGAGAATTAGATGTTGTGCTCAGTTGACTGGAAATATAAAATAAATCTATGAAACGTGATCCATAATTACTATTCATGACTAATGAAGTAAAGATATCGAGGATATCTTTTTTTTATATTTTCTTTTGAAAATGAAATTTACCAACTCATGTCGTTAACTCAAATCAAGACTGCAACTTACGTCGAGAGATAGAATTTAGGGTCATCGATTTATTTTGATCAAAAAACCTGAGGGAATTCTTAACCGCAGAGTTTTTGACTTATATTTGCAAACACTCAATTTAGCCTACCCTTACAGATTGAAAAAAAGTCAACGGTTATATGGTTCAAGTTAAATCAAAACGAATTGGGGGTTCAATTACGAACTAGCTCAGATGAAAAACCATAATACTCTGTCTAGCTTGGATATATTTCGACAAAACATGTTTTCACTGAGTGCAATAATATGTAACTTGCCGCACAGATTTAAAAACATATTAAAAAGGTGTACAAAAATGTATGCTGAAACCGGAAACTACACAAATTCTAAATTAATTTATCTTTTAAATTATAAGTAAATAGTTTAACTATACTGGCATTATTCGGAATATACTAACTTAAAGTATATAAATAAATATGTAAATAAATTCACACACACACACAAGACTATTCATACTGATATTAGGTAAAGTCCAATACTAAAATTTTATTTAACAAATATTAGAACAATGTAGGTGTCTATATCACCTATCAGATAATCTCATTATTAATGTTTTAATTTAAAGTATTAGTGTGAACATTAATTGATAGATTGATACAATATCAGGAACAAGTTAAATGATATTAATCTAATTATATACTAGGAACATAGTAGATTATCTATGGTCTGAAGGTTAAATAACCTAGACTTTAGTTTTTGATATTGTCGATTTTTATTATTAAGGCATACTTAGTACATAGTGTTAATAAATATTAAAAATCGTGAATATTAGATTAATGCACTAATTGCAACAGAACTTATCACTTGTAGTGGTGTTAACACTTACTTAGACGATAGTATATATAATATTAAAGATACAGCGATTAGCTTAAATGGCTTACTCATTTTAAAGTAGATTATTCTATTTCACTATGGTATGACAGTAAAATTGATGAATTTGTTTAATCGAAATGCTTAAAATGAGTTTAGATATTAGATGTTAAACAAAAGAACACTTCCAATTAACCATATTCAATTATTTTAAGAAATATACATTTTGTTTTAACTAGTCAATACACTTGCTTCAGATTCCTTTGGGATTACAATAGTGTCACCTGAAAACTTTACCAATACTAGTCTTTGAATATTTCTCATTTTTTCACGATAAATTTCGTTTATTTCCTAAAACACCAACAAAAAAAAAGAAAGTAAACGAAACAAGCAAAAATTAAGTAGATGTTTTTGTCCATAAGAAGAAAAAGGAGATATTATAAAGTTTTTCGTCCGAGTTAATACTCAACAAGTTAATTTAATTATGAAAAGTCAACTCAAATAAAAACTGTTCATTCTTTTCCTCCGAATTTCGTTACTCTACAACAGGAAAAATCAGTAGAAGTTGAATGTAGACTGAAAACAAAAGTGAATCAAATATCCACTATTTAACTAATATTATAATGTGTTTGCAAAATATAATTATTTCATTAAGATATAATTTTATTCTTGTTTACTATAGTGTAATAATGGCTTCAAAACTGGTCCATTAATGATACAACTCAAAACTAATGCCAAGGTAACCAATTCTTGATACTTTCAATTATGACTGGACCACCGTGAACCGTTTATGCCCAATAAATAATCCTTTATGTTGATTAATTATTTTAAATGAACACCAATAATGTGATGCCTAGGTGTTGTAAAGCGATTTAAATCAGATGTGTGTCTCTTGTAAAAAAAAGCAGGCCTTCATTTTCTGCTGCGATAGAGTATGCTGCATGACTTTCAAAGACTTGTCAATATAACTTACTTATCTTTCAGCGTAGTGGTGATCGTTAACAGAACTCAACAGGATACCTACGTTGATGTAATTTTGAAGGGACAATCGTCAGGAAACATTGTAAAGTGGTTTTATTCTGTTTTTCACTCATCTGTAAGACACAGCTACCAGCGTGAAATAAGTGGTTGTAGCTGTGCGAAATGAGACAGCGTCATTAAGTGTCATATCTGAGAATGTTACGCAGGACGCAAATTGGTGAGTTGCTAGAGATGTTTGACCTTTAATAGAATAAATATTACTACTTCATCTAAAAATATAAGAGTAGTTTCCTAAGACATGATTTCTTTGACAACAAAGGTTACCAAAGATTTAGATTTTAGGTAATTTCGATCTGAACAAATATACAAATATATTTTAGCCACACAAAGCTTACGTTTTCCTGATTAATATCAGCTAAAAATTGGGAGTATTTGCGATAAACATCTTCCTCCAATGGATCATGCCAGTATTGAGCTTGAACAACGCTTGTTACGTAACAAAGGGAATAAATTTTTGTGTTTGAATGTGCGTATATTGCAAGAAATAATTTAATACTTTCATATAAGATTACTTAGAACAAACCCTCAAAATTCAAAAAAAATTTCGCAACACTTTTGACTACAAGCAGTATGCCCGTGTCAAGGATCGTTATTGTAACTTATTCATATTTATCTGAAATTAGAAAAAGAAGTGAAATGAAACTCTTACCATGCTGGCTTTCTATTTTTTGATGAAATGGTGAAGTACCAAGAAGATCAGTTAGCCATATAATCACAAAAGATAATCAATTTTACGGCATCCTCTTAGAATTAAAATACAGAATTTCGTAAAATGTCTGAATATGATAAGTTTACTTACTTACATACTCAAAATTTATCCTTATCGTCATCGTTGCTGTCATTGTTGGATGCATAACATTGGATAATATTCACTGTGATTCCAGTCTTCTTTGTTTTGAATGATGCTTTGATGATCCTGGACCCATAAGATTCCCATCCTATAAGTGCCTTATGTGCTTCTTTGGACAACATCGGAGCAACTCCCTGAGTGCATGGAGCATTCTCCTCTTCATAACTGGTGTACAGCAGCATCTCTACCGTATCTAGCCTTTGCTGTCCAACTTGGGTCCAATGGGTTTCGCTGATTCCGAGAACCACCAAGTTGTATCTCCTCATTCGCGTTGCTATATGATTGTGCGGACGGTCCATGCACCTATAAATATTGTTGCTCTGGTTGTTAAAAGGGGCATCGGCCCTTTGACTTCTAAAGAATCTCAGGCTTTATTGGAAGGCGTCATAATTCTTTCTTGAACTTGGAGGGCAGAGTTTAAATGGTGTAATTTGTTTAATCTGGTTGACGACTCTTGGCAAAACTTTTTTCTACGCGATGGGGTTGCCGACCCCATGCCAAACCCTCTTTTAACCGGGCTTTGGACCGGTAGTAACCTTAGAAGAGCGACAGTCGGATCTGATCAGTAGCGAAAAATAGTTCAGACAAGTGTTTACCCCCTAAAGACAAACGGTTATTGACATTTCGTTGATATTTCCCAAAGTTCGATGTGTAGTACATTATTCGGTTGTATGGTCAGACATTCTTCCAGTCGTACTGATTGGAGAACCTGGAAAATATGAACGTCGGTTCATATTATCATGCTTCACTAACACAGCGATTTTCCGGAGTAGTAGACGTACTACGAGTATCAGTGATAGCAGAAAATAGTTGGTGTAATCAAGACTCGGGAAAAATGTAAACCAATAGGCACAGGTTTGATGTGGGTTTTAACATCGACCTTAACTCAGACGTTGTGGTTTTGGTCAAATGTTACATAGAAAGAATAATAAAGTTTACTGGAGGCTTAATCATACAAAATTTACCCCCTCTATGAGTTCAGAGACAATTTATACTTTCATTAAACTCGCCTTAGTAATAGAGATTTATTGACTAGAATGATGTGATCCATGATGTTTTTCGTCTCCTCCAATTAGTTTAGCTAAACAGTTATTTTTCGCAAAAAACTTCACAACCAGTAAATGTATAATCAAATTGAGCAGAAGGCAATGCGCTAATATTAATAATATACGTACATATAATATATAATAATATGTGACAAGTTGAGTGTACTTTAAATTTACAATTAACTGTGATGAAGCTACCATTTAGACCCCTTGAATACTGACACACTTTAGTATTTGTAAGTCTTGAAAATATAGTTTCTCTTACCCAACTTACAATTGTGCTAGCATACTTTAATAAATCCAAAACCGCTGATAATTTCATAATTATTTGTCTAGCACTTACTGACTCTGAATAAATTTAATATAGGCTCCATATGAAAGTAGCTCGTTCATTAATAAGCACAAATGAATAAACCCATCAATAGTGCATTTTGGTATCCCAAATATACCCTGCTGAGGTCCTCCAATAGAAACAACTGTGCCGACTTTCGATAAGTTGCATTTTTGAACTAACGCTCTAACAAATAATCCACCCTGTGATATACCAATCATGTGTAGACCATTAGATAGGTTTTTATCTTCATGTATCATACGACAAACATAATCCAGTTGATCATTGATCGGCATAAAATATGTATCTTCAATATCCTACAAAGAGGGTAAAAAATAAGTGCCGAAGAAGTAAAATCAAAGTCAATGAAAACCGCCAAAAAGTAGATAGAATTATCATCTTGGTGCTGAATAAGTTGCACATAATAAAGCGGTATATATAAAAATTATAAGTTTACAGTAGATGTATAAGTGGCCCAGTTCGGCAGAGGGGAGTTATCAGACGAGATCAAGATATGAAAATGTTTGGCGGTTATCTGTGTTCACTGTTTGATTCGCAATCTAATAATCTGTATGAAGAATTATGCTCATATTTCATCGCTTTCGCAACAACCTGTGTTCAATAGGATGTAGAACCACAAATACATCTTTCAAATGACCAACACTGAAATCGTTAGATTCAAGCAATAGCCTAGATCTTGAAAAAGGCTATTCTTCCAGACCATTTGATGTTTTGGTCCAGTTTCTATAATTTTTCTTTTCACAACTTCAAAGCGCTCTATTAAGTCTTTGGTTTTGGTGATCTGGAATTTATTTGGACTTTGAAAATGACGTATATATGACCACAGTTTTTTCTTTTGATTTATTTAAAATAGAAGCTTATTAGATCATAATACCGGACCGAAAATTATGTTTACTGAAAATGAACAAATCAGAAACAAAGACTAACTAACACTTCGTATTTGGTGTTCACTTTCCGCTGAATTATTAATTTTCTAGCTGCACATACACAACAGTATTATTTAAGTAATACCAATACTCGCATATACCGACTTTTAACCTATTACAACTTATATGAGGTTTTTTTTTCTTATCCTCAACGAATAGTTTAAACTATACACTTCAGTTATCTGGGAATATAATGATTCATCAAATGGTGTGTGTGAATTTTGGATCAAATTAAATGAGATGATTTTTTCTATAAAAACCTACGTAAAAAAGTCAAATTTCATAATCATCAGGAAATCTATAGAAACATTTGATCTCGTCAAAATCATTTTTACAAGAATCTGTTTAAAAACTTATTTGAAACCCAACATTTTCATACTTCATCAGTAGTTTGCTGTGTGTTTTCTTTCTGCCTACAACTTTGTTAGGCAGAATTTGTATTTGAAATGTAGCATTTTTATAAGGGGTTTTAACCACGACTTAGAACGCCTTGATTTGATTCGTAACTAATATCCTGTTAACGAAAATCGAAGATCACTGATTTCGCCATGATAAGCTGCTGTCAGGACGTCATGAATTTGGAAAGTCATTTGAATTTGCAATATAAAAAAATATAGAACGATAATTATCCAGAGTTATGCGCTTAAAATGTATTATTCGTCTCAAAAGCTAAGTAGCACCACGGGGTAAGCAAGCTTTTAATAAGAGCGACTTATGCTTGTAATTCTCTGCTCTGAATGTAGTTTTTTCAACTTCGTTTGAATGGAAAATGTCTCAAAGATTTAATCAGTCATCTTTCCCATAAACTGGATATGATCTTAAAGTGTAAATGCGAACAAATTTACTGACGAAAAAAATCTTGGCTACATTTATCTGCCCAATAATAGATGAAAATTGATTACATTCCTTTTGCTACTGGCAGATATCTAAATCAGTCTGACGGAACCATTGTGTGTGAGACATAAAATCACCAGCAAAGTTTTTTTTTCATTTTATCAATATTAAGTTGTATTATAAGTAGTAGTATACTCAATTCCCAGGTCACAGATTATTTTAAAGTTAACAACAAACACCAGAAAGATAACAACACAGTAGTTTGTCACGTTTTTGGAACTGTTCAGCTAGTATATGATCTTTAGTTCCGAATGTTTTAATAGCATAAAGATTTCTTTCTTAAAGCTATTATCATTTGTTCTCCCAACAGGGAAAGACTTCAGAAAACTTAGAAGCACTGAAAATCTATATCCCCTCAACAAAAACTGTTTTTTTAAAATACTAAGTTGCCATTTAGCGGTTTGCATTCTTAGCTTTAGTAGACTTGGTACTCTGTGTTATATACATTTTGATAAGGTGCATATAATAAACACTTCATATGATAAATTACTGTTCTGATAAGTTATTCAGAAACACATATTTACAGACAAAAGTTCATTCACCTGAATTACTGAGTTGCTGGTGGTAATGCATTTGACATATGTTCCAGGTATTTCGTCTTGTATCGCTTTAGCTAGCTTCAGTATACCCATACCCGTTCCTCGATCGCCTTCAAAATAAGCGAGCCGAGTAAAGTAACAAACCCATCCCGTGCCAGATAATAACGGGCAACTTTTCTGTTGAGGTACATGACAACTTTGAAATCAGTAAAACCCACGTTAACAGAAGGTACATAACAAACATGTTCTGACCTAGAGCCAATAATCAATATATTTGTCACGAGTTTATGCAAAACGTTAGGTGTCTGTGCTCGCTTCTTGTTGTTTCAGTATAGTTCCAAGTATTGGATAATTTCCAGTGTGTAGTAGTTTAGCCACTTAACTGCAATAATTCTAATTGGTTTGGTAGTTGTTTGTGGATTTGTATATCTTGAAATTCGATTGAGTGCGTTTTTCTCTGAGCTCTATGAACTTGTAGTGACTCACGTTTATCACGAGAACACGACTGGTTTAATAAAAACAATGATTATTATAACCAACTGTACCAGTGTTTGTTTTAACGTGCTTTTGTTTGACTGTGCTAATGACAGCTATTTTGTGCTTCCATTCTTATACTTACACTTTGATTGTAACTTCGCGCGAATTCGGTTACGTTCTGTAACCAAGCTTGTATCCTGGCACGATCTCGGTATCCTTTCGATGCCACGAGATCGCCAGCAAATAAACATCGACTTGGTCCATTAATTGCCTTCTGGTATTTGGCTTCTCGGGGATTTTATGGAGTCATTTGGAACGAGCTTCTTACGCCTTCTGATCTATTTGGCACGTGTTTCTTAATAGCGGTGTTCATAGTTAATCTCAACTCGACACCACGCTACAATTGGTGACCTGTATTTTGGAACACGCCTCATCCTCTGATCAAATCTTCCAAAGAGGCCAATTCGGTGAGTCTATGATTTATCTATCCACGTCTGTCGTATATTTTCATATTTTTTACATATATAATATACTCGACATGACGGATAACGATAAGAATAGTATTAATATAATAGACTCACACGTATGTGTACCGAATCCTTGTCACTTTTTATTCGCGTGATGATGAATTCCACGCTTTATTCGAGAAATGTCACCCTATTAACGATTCTCCTCTCTGACCCGGCTGCTTGGTACGGAATGCATACGCATAAGCATATCCGTCTACCACCCAGCACCAAATGGTTAAGTTGAACGGTTTCACTGCCAACTTAAAAGTGTTCTACGAGCACACGAAAACGGCAACTGGCACGAAACCTTACCGCTCGTTCTTTTAGGGGTGAGAACGAGCTTAAAGGCAGATATCCAGTGTTCCGCCACTGAACTTGTATACGGCACGACATTGCGTCTGCCCGGAGAATTCTTCACACCACGGAGCAGACCTAATTTCGGTAAATCAGACTACGTCCATCGACTGTCTGCATTTATGCGAACGCTGTCTCCGGTGTCAACTCGAATACAACATCGACAGGTCGCTCTCCCTCGAGAGTTGTCTACCTTTTCACATGTTTTTGTACGAGTAGATTCGGTACGCAAACCTTGGCAACAACCTTACGAAGGCCCTTTTCACGTGATCGCTCGTCACGAAAAGGCCTTCAAGGTTGATCGATATGGACGCGTCGAGATCGTCAGCATTGATCGTCTCAAACCAGCACACGTCGATGACAGAGCCCTATCTGACACCCTGAGATGCAATTCTAGACCTATCAAACCTAGCGGGATCCTTAAATCTTCTTCAGGTCCCACGCTAGATGCATCTGGGACCTTATTCTCACGTCCCGGTCAACAACACGCGTCATCTGCACCGTCTACGGATGAGACGACAGTCTCACGTCCAGATCAGCAGACCACGCCGCCCTTGACTTCGGATGAGATTGCAGGCTCACGCGACGCGAACGAGACTGCCGTCTCACGTTCCGGTCGCCGAGTACGGTTGCCCGTACGCTTCCGTGAATAGTCGCACAGTCAACAGCCGATACGGTGTAGGATTACTCCTATGCTGCACGCATGCTACACTCTTCTCTTTTTTGCTTTTCTTTTTGTTTCCTGAGCCCGCGCCTTCGACCATCTCCGTTTGGTACCGTCGACTTCAGTCAACTTTGGCGAAAGCTGGCCTGATCACCCATGCTCTTGTCAACGTACTCAGTCGATATATTGGTTTCGAATGCTTGGCATACGCTTTGTCTCGAACTTGGTCGTTATGGTCGCTTCTGGTTCATCGGCTCAACGTGGTTTCGTCCTACGTCTGCAGCGTTTCTGGTCCGGACCCCTACGAACGCCCTCTTCAGATTCTGGATACAAACCACTCTGGTGTAGCATGTCAATTCAAGCAACAAATACAGCACATCGCTCCTGGTACCGTTCTCCGAAAACGACCTTCGTTGGCAACTCGACGATCAACGATCGCTTTCCTGTTCGCCAATTCTTCCGTCCTACAATCGCTCGTCAGCTGATCAGTCCCACGATTCAAACCGCTATTTATCGAAAGTGTAAACCCTTTCTAGCGGGAGGCCCCTGTAGTGACTCACGTTTATCACGAGAACACGACTGGTTTAATAAAAACAATGATTATTATAACCAACTGTACCAGTGTTTGTTTTAACGTGCTTTTGTTTGACTGTGCTAATGACAGCTATTTTGTGCTTCCATTCTTATACTTACACTTTGATTGTAACTTCGCGCGAATTCGGTTACGTTCTGTAACCAAGCTTGTATCCTGGCACGATCTCGGTATCCTTTCGATGCCACGAGATCGCCAGCAAATAAACATCGACTTGGTCCATTAATTGCCTTCTGGTATTTGGCTTCTCGGGGATTTTATGGAGTCATTTGGAACGAGCTTCTTACGCCTTCTGATCTATTTGGCACGTGTTTCTTAATAGCGGTGTTCATAGTTAATCTCAACTCGACACCACGCTACAAACTCTGGATACTAGCAGCCATCACATTACCAGGTAGGAGGTTGATTGATCGCAATGCGAAAAGGGAAAGTGATGGTAAATGTGCTAATAGATTACGACAGTCCTAATTATAAATAAATAATTTGCTTAATATGTATTATGTGAGGAGATAGAATAGAAAGAATAAGAGGGGAACTGAGATAGTAATAACAGGTATAGAAACGACTTGTTGATGTGAATCATAGACAACAGTAGGTGAGCTGTGATACATGCATCAGCTGATCCGAGAGAGAAATCGCAATCTATGAGTGAGTACGTGTTTATCAAGTCTCCACCTAAGCCTATCCACTGAGGGTGCTGTGCTCACTTCAGCTAGAAGAGCATTCCAAATGGTTGCAACCCTTAATGAGAAAAGTGAGAGCATAAATCAGTGTTCGTTCTTTGACGTTCGGTCTTTTGAGTGGTATCTTGAGCAGAGTGGTGGTGATTTTCTATTAATGTGCTGTTGTTGGGGTATCTCGGAGTATTTAATATTTTGTATACCGATATGAATTTACTTCTTATTCTCCTACAGCTGGGTGAGGAAATTCTCAAATGCTTGAGTCTGTCTTCATAAGATTTATGCTTCCACACTATTACCCACTTGGTTGCCCAAACCCATACTTGGTGTAAGAGATTTACATCTATTTTGAAGGGAAAGAGCGCAGTGGTATTGTGAACTTCAAGGTGGGGCATATCGTATGTTTTAGACAGTGTTGGGAACAACTGTGTGGTGAATGTGCGTAGTTATCTATGCATTTCGTGGAGAGTTACATTTGGCTTGGCCTCATCGATCTTGGCTTCAAGCTCCAGATCACTCTCTGAATAAGCAATTCGGAACGGAATCGATGAGTAGTGTAAGTGCGTTATGTCAAATGAGTAAAACCGTTTATGAAATGACGGTTTAACAGGTTAAGCTTTAACATATCATCTACTACACACTCCTCTGTTATTACAAGGTCCGTCAGAAGCCCAAGTGATTCGTTTTCCCTCTTACTGGGCCTCTATAGTATTCTAATTGTCGTATGAATTAGGAATTCCAGGATTAACGCAATTGAATCAAGAAGACACAGGCACAACGAATGTACTGTATTTAGAATTCGAAATCAAACACTCAACCAGTACAAAGGTATCATTGGTTCATTCAAAAACCACATCCGCCACAGCTTAAATTGGAGTCTAGGTGTTTGTAATCAATCGTACGTCTTCTTCTCAAATTCATCCTGAGTCTGTCTGACATTGTATTGGATAAGGATTCTGTATTATCTAGAATATGCTCATTAGCATTAGAATTAACAATCGAAATTGGAACTGACTCACCCGGTTCCTGAAATTGTATTTGATCTACATGGAGACTATGTGTACTTAAGTCATCGATGTCTAGAATTCGCACCATAGATTTTCCGATATTCTTCAGAACAATACCCGTAGATGGTCGAAGATCATTTCCTCGATAGTATGTAACTTCTGCAGACTCCAGACATCTCATATTCGACCGAAGAATTCTTCCTTTCAATAGCTTCGCTGGAGTCTCCTTCGTCACCGAATGTTTGGCATTTCTATATTGCAATAGAAAGGTATCTACTCCTCTCTCCAGCTCATTAAATGTTGAGGGGGCTATAGAATCAATAGCAGTCTTTAATGTCCTAACAAAATTCTCTGCCTGACCATTAGAACACGGATGTCTGGGAGCAGTAAATAGATGTTTGCACCCTATACCGTTCAACCAGGTAGTGACTGCATCTGCAGCAAAATGTGAGCCATTATCAGTCACCAACACCAAGTCAACCCCTTCTCGACTAAACACCTTTCTTAATGCTTGTATTGTGAAATCAGAATTTGGTGAAGTTGTGAAAAAAACTTCAGGCCACTTTGAAAAAGAATCAATGACTACTAGTGCGTAGCATTTACCAAGAAATGGTCCACAATAGTCAGCATGAATCCTCTGCCAGGCCTCAGACGATACTGGCCATGGTACCCACTTCGAAGGATGATTTTTCAACTGATGACATTTCTCACAATTGTTTGCCGTACGACATATATCTGCATTTATCTCTGGCCACCAGCATGTGAGCCTTGCCAAGGACTTCATTTTCTCAACACCTAAATGACCACTATGAAGATCTTCAAGAACAGATTTACGCAATGAAGGAGGAATGACAACACGATCATTTAAACACAGAATACCATCAGAATTAGTAGATAACTCATCCCGCTTTGAAAAATAGATAGGAAATCTCCGTTTCAAATTAGCATTCCAACCTTTCCTTATAGCACTGAGTATACATCCAAAATATCTACGAGTTTCCCTAATGAGATCTGAACGTCTCACTGGTAAAGGTTGCACTAACAAACAATCCGAAGTATTAATACGTTTATCTTGTAATGACTGTCGAGAAATGTAATCAACATGTTGAATCTGTTTGGCACTTCTGTGCTGAACCGTATAGTCATATGCACTCAAAGCAATACTCCATCGCTGAACCATAGCTGCTGAGGAACGTGCTAAGGATTTTTCGGGATGATAAATAAACTTTAAAGCTTCACGATCAGTAGCAACAGTGAATTTCTTTCCCAATGAATATTTATGGAACC